GATGATCCAGACGGCTACAACTTTTATTGGCATGATTTGAGAAAAGATAAACTTCAATTTTAGAGATGCAATGTCAGAGCAGGTAAATGCAAGCAAACTCCAGACGTTTTTGGAGATGGATTGATGCCAGCATAAGTGCTTCTTTCATATTTTAATAATTGATGAACTTGCTTTTCTGAATGACACGTCAAACTGTCTCATTCGATACAGTAAGCTTCAAACGACTCTTGATTTTGGAACAACTGGTCACAACATTGAGCGCTTTTCATAGGATTTGACGTTTTTCTCAGACTGTAAGGAGAGAATGACGTCCGGAAAAGTTCTTTGTAACGTAACTTAACGAATTCTTGACAAATCGATTGACCACGTCCGAGGATCTTCCTAAATTCTGAGCAATCTGACAGTCTGAAAAATTTTGGGCATTTTTGGCTGTAATTTGACCTTTTTCGAAATCAGTTAGTGGTTTTTTACGTCACATCGTTTGAACAGTCGAAGGGAATACAAAAAGTTTAAAATTAAAGAGTATGGTGCTGAAACATGGGGAAAAAATGGGGGTGAACGTATATTTATGTGGAACTGCAAAAGTCAAAACACTGAAACATGAAAAAAAAATATATTGCTCATTCTCATTTGGAATTCGCTTTGTGTCCCAAAAGTCTTTCATATCGTACTCTTTCGAACCCCCGGTCGATATTTTTTAGAAACTGCAAATTTGGGGTTTTCGCCATTTTTCATGGGTGAACGTATATTTATGTGGAGCAGTATAGTAATATTTCTGATAGTGAAAATTCCAGACCTCGAACAGCTACCAGATTTATCCAAATGCGACTTGGGTGAAAAATCCAAATGCGACTTGGGTGAAAAACTACGATTTCTCCAATAATTCCATAACAAGTTCCAGCTTGGTGTGATTCATTTTTGCATACATCATCTACTCTGAGATTTTTTTAAAATGAAAGTTCGAACTATACGGCGATTTGTCAAAAACAAGAGGTGTCGAACCTTCACAACTAGAAATATAGAATATCGTATTTTCTCTAATATAATCCCATTTAAACCATACTTGTAATCCGAGCCTTTGCCGGGCCTTCACGGGCCCTGCCATAATTTCTTTCAGAATCTGTATT